GGCCGCCCTCCGTGCGCGGAGGCTCCGGCAGTTCCAGCCGGAAATCTTTGCGTTCTGAACAGGTATCTTCAAGACAGCAGTGGAGCCCTGAGGGGGGCGGGTGACCAGGACCGGGGCAGCCGCAGGGTCTCGGGACCCCGACTTAGGACCCCACCCTGGAAAATCGCTTTGCCGCGCGTTGCTAGTCCGCGTTACTCGGGTCCGGAGCCTGTACTGTTTTACAAGCCCAGGCGGCACGGATTCTAGGCTTCGGACTTGCCGTTGCCAAGGAACTGGTACCTTGTCAGGGTCTGATGCTAGGAAGCTTATGACCGGGTCTTAATACCTTTCTACCTGGCCTGGAAGGTGATCGCTTCCTCACAGCGGCCTCTTCCCCGAACAGCTGCTGTCCCAAAGACCTGCCTCTCCGGTTTATCTCCCAGTTGATTTCTTGTATTTAGCATCGGGTGCTGTTATCATAGCCTTAAGTTTCCTGCTCTGAACGTGTTTTGCTGATTAAGATCGAAGACTATTTCCCTGGCCCCCTCCAGGTTAAATGTTCATTCCTCGATTCATTTCTTTGTGCAGGTGCACTTCTTCAGTTTCAGATTTCTCTGAAACCTTCGGTCTTTAAGATTGCTTGACCAAAAACAGTTATTTAATTGTGTAACTTTAAAGTTTTCTAAAGAAAACTGGAGGGGGAGGGGAATGTCCTTGTCTTCTAACAGAAATGTTTGACAGTTGCTAACTTGAGGTCAAGTTAATTTATAGTTAATTACCGTTTCCTGTTTAGGAACTAGGGTAAGAGGGGCAAGGAGTGTTTATTCAATAAATGCTGCCTGGGGAGAAGTGCAGTATGACACATGTTGGGGATGCAGTGGCTGTCACCGGGACGGCTGGGACCTGTGTGCCTCTGAAGAGGAAAACCAGTTGGTAACTGAGCACCCAGCAGAGCCCTTCCCAAATTGTTAATGGAGATTTTTATAGAGCCTGAAAGTAGTATCTTTTGGTGACACACCAAATATCTCACGTAAAACTTAAAAGTTTACACAAAGGGGACAACAGAGAAGGTCTTTAGGAGGGGTGGCTAAAAAGGAATATTTTTCAAATACTTGAACTGAAGGAATAATGTTATCTCTATAGCACTCACGCATTTCTCCTACCTGGATCTTAATTAAGTGCCAGTATTTTGTTTTAGATTTACTAAGGTAACATAATATAGTGGAAACAACCTTCTATTTGAACTTAAAATGTCTTATGTTTAAATCTTAGCGTCATAACAAAGTATATTGGTTAAAATCAGAAACTCCAACTCACCTGCCTGAGAACAAATGTCATTTTCAAGGTGGGATAAAGAATGATAGGCCTTGCTCTTTTTTATTTTTTTGGAGAGGTTTTTGCTATAGGGCGCATGTGCTCGCCAGAGAGACAGAAAGTGAGAAATCACCCCCCAGGGGGCAGCCATGCCGCACTCAATCCCTTCTCTTCCATTCTCCTCTCAGAATCTTGGACACACTCGCACACACCTCCACTGTGAGTTTAAGCCACTGGGTCTGGGACTCGAACTATGGTTGATTACATGGGAGTCCAGCAACGTAGCCATTATGCCAACCAACTGCTGGTCCCAGCCTTGCTCTTAAAAATCATCAAAGAATTGAGGGAGCAAAGGGATATTAACTTTCAGCTTTAGTTAAGTTTGGCCTGTAGCATTCAAGATAACTGAGGGTTAGAAAAGCAAGTTGTGTCAGGACAGAGAAAGTTGGCATTTTAATTCCTACATGGGGATCCCACTGAGGAGTCTAAAGTTAGGACACGGATGGAGAGGACCAGAGCCAAGCAGAAGCATGGGTGAACTGGAGAGAGAGTGTTCCAGGCAAGGATACTAGGAAGTTATAGCTATTTAGAAAAGAGAACAGCAAGAGGCTGGAGATTCAGAGTGTTTACTCTTCCTTGCCTGCTGGCATAATAAACAGTTTTCCTAAAAAAAAGAGAGAGAGAGAGAGACTGAAAGAAAAGAGACCAGGAAAGGGAAAAAGGAATGTATTCAGTTGCCATTCCAAAAGCAGGATCAATAAAACTTGGCACTCCATTGTGTGGAGAGTAGGTAAGGAAAGGTATCATAGCCAAGAGGAAAGTAACTTTTTATTATTATTATTTTTTTTTTTTTTTGAGAGAGAGATTTTTGCTATAGGGCACGTGCACTTGCCAGAAAGACAGAGAGATAGAAAGCGAGAAATCCCTTTCCCCCCCCCAGGGGGGGATGGCCACCGCAATCCATTCTCCTCCATTCTCCTCTCGGGATCTTGGGCATGCATGCACACACGCTCGATGTGAGTTTAAGCCACTGCGTCCGGGACGCGAACCGCAGTCGACTACTTGGGAGTCCAGCGACATAGCCATTACACTAACTGCTGGTCCCGAGAAAGTAACTTCTTCAAGTCCAAAGCCATAGGGAACATGGGAGGAACTGCAGGCCAGCATGTCTGACCTAGGGCACCCAGGATGTAAGTGGCCTATGAGCAGACAGTGGATTAAATCACTCCTACACAGGGGCCAGCAGGACACATGGCTGATCATGGTTCAAGTCCCAAACCTGGACTTGAAAATCACATCGGATGTGTGTGCACCCCAAAATTCCAGGAGAATAGAGGGGAAAAGATTATGGTGTGGCCATCCCTCCTTGGGGGTGATTTCCCACTCTCTCTCTCCTGCAAGTACACATACCCTATGGGAAAAACTTAAGGGGGGAAAAAAAAAAAAACTCTTAAATTTTTGTGCTAAGTTTTCACTATTTTCTGGGTTAGTTTAGTTCTCTTCTATTATACTGTGACATCCTGCAGTGAACTTTGTGCAAAAAATAACCATGATCTTTACTAATGGTTTCTCATTCCAATTTTAATTCTTTTGTTCATATATTCCAAGAAACACAAGTGCCAGCCAAAAATTAATTTATTGAAGTGGTCCTCTTCAAGTTCTCAATGAAAGTAAGAGGAAGATCTAGATCACACCTCAAGCGTGTAAAAATAAGCAAAGTTTAATGTGGGTGTGTTTATGCATTCCCTCTTATTTGAGAATTTCAGTTATAGTATATCTTATCCCAGAGAACTTACTAATGGATTCTTCTTTACCCTCTTTTTAACTAGGGAGTCTTTTTTAGTAGATGATTTAGAACTAGCTCAATTTGGCTTACTTAGAAGGAATTTGATTGACTTAGTAACTGAAAAGTAACTGAGAGCTTGTGAGCAGTTTGGGCTTTAAGTATAGCTGAGACTTGAGGCTTACTTGATGGCTCTGTATCCCGGGCTTAACTGCACTGGCTGCATTTCCTCCCTACCTGGTGGCCTCCTGTAGTCTCGTACTTGTTATTCTTCAGCCAGCTGTCTTAGTGGAACATAGTTTATCTTTCCTAGTAGTCTCAGCAAATTTCTGGTATTGGGTTTATTCATCCAGCTTGGATCACACACTCATGTTACTATCCTTGAATCCATTAGTGTGGAGAATGTAGAATTGGTGGACTCCTGAGTGTGAAGCATGTCTATTGCAAACAGGTAGCTGAGGAATACAGATGGGGTAAGCAGGCTGCCCCACCACAGAAGGAGAAATGAAGGAAAATGGAGATGGAGGCAATGGTTTCAAATAAGTGGAAAATGGACACCACTGAGCAAGCAAGAATAAATGTTACAACATCTTGTCCTCAAACTGGTGGTACTGCAGTATGAACAAAGTCAGGTTCACTAAAAATTATGACACTGAATGAGATCCAGCGAGGAGCCCAAGACCAAGCACGTAGTCTAAGCACGTAGCCTAAGAACCTTCAGCCAGATCTCACCTTAACCACGGCAGCTGCATGGCAAGATCCACACCGGCCTTCCCGAGAGCTAGTCCCGGCCTCTACCGCCACTAGCTGAGCCAACCACCAATCAACCATCATCAAGGTGCCCGAGTGAGAGCAGAGGAGGTGGCATGAGTGAAGCGGGTGAGGCCACCACCACCATACTCCCACAGGCTCCAGCAGAGGCCGTTGCCAGGGCCCTGCAGGACTTTGTGCCCAAGAGCCAGGCAGGCAGTGGCGCACCCCAGGCTGCAGGCCCAGCACCTACCACCCTCGTTGTTGGAAACCCTGGTGGGGAAGCACCCTCACAGCCATGGGCACCATAGCCTTGGGCACTGCAGCTCAGTTCTTCAACCACCTCCAGCAGTGAAGACGCAGAGAAAAACATTCTCGCCACCAAAGTCCTTGACACTGTCAAATGGTTCAACATCAGAAATGGGTATGGATTTACAAATTGAAATGACACCAACAAAGATGTATTTGTACATCAGACTGCCATCAAGAATAATAACCCAAGGAAATATCTGCTCAGTGTAGGAGATGAAGAAACCATAGAGTTTGATGTGGTTGAAGGAGAGAAGGGTGCAGGGCCAACATAACTGGCCCAGATGGAGTTTTATAGAAGACAGTCCATACACTGCTGATCGGCGCCACTGTAGATATGGCTTCTATGGCAGACGCCAGTGAATCTCCTGGTAATTACACTTGGGAGAAGGAAGGGAGCAGCAGCAGTGAAGGATTTGACTCCCCTGCCACAGACAGGCAGTTCTCTGGGGCCCAGAATCAGCTGCGTCGCCCCTAGTATCACCCTCAGTACCAGCAGTGGCAGTTTCCGCCTTACCACACAGGACAGACATTCGGCCATTGCTCACGGGCCTTTCCCCACCCCAGTAGATTACAAGCTGGAGAGACTGGAGAGATGAAGGATGGAGTCCCAGAGGGAGCTCAGCTTCAGGGATGGGTTCATCAGAATCCAACTTATTGCCCACGGTACCATAGGGGACCTCTTTGCCTATGACCTGCCCCAGCTATGGGAGAGGCTGAAGACAGAGAATCAACAAACAGCCAATGGTCCAAACCAACCATCTGTTCTCCAGGGATACCTGTGTCCCTACAACTACCGGCACCATCCCCATCCTCTTAATGCTCCCTCACAAAGTGGCAAAGAGACCAAAGCAGGTGAAGCACCAACTGAGAACCCTGTTCCAGCCACTGAGCAGAGCAGCACTGAGCAATGCCAGGCTCCCCAGGCACCTTCACCATCCCTGGCATGTCCTAAAGAATTAATGACTGTGTTGGGACCAGCCATTAGCGTAATGGCTGTGTCGCTGGACTCCCATGTAGTTGACTGTGGTTTGAGTCCCAGACTCGGTGGCTTAAACTCACGCCAGGCGCGTGTGCGTGTGTGCCCAAAATCCCAAGAGGAGAATGGAGGAGAAGGGATTGTGGCGTGGCCATCCCTCCTGGGGGGTGATTTCTCGCTTTCTGTCTCTCCAACTCTCTCTGTCTTTCTGGTGAGCACACGTGCCCTATAGCAAAAACCTCTAAAAAAGTGAATTGATGACCATGTAAAAATAAAGCAAAAAGCATACTATGACCTTACCAACACCAAAGAAACATGCAAGCAATAAAAGTGAAAGACTAACCAAGATTTGGACATGGGAATGTTTATAATTACTCTTTAAGAAACTAACAGCTGGGGCCAGCAGGTCACATGGTGATTAAGATGCTGGACTCACACATGGTGGACTGAAGTTCCAGTCTTGAACTTGGTAGCTTGCTTTCTCATGACTCCCCAACCCCAGGTCTCTCTGGTCAACTTGAAGACTAATAATAATAAATAAAATGAGTAATTAAAAAAGGAAAAGAAACTAACAACTGCAGAAGGAAAACTGTCAGCAAGTTTTTTCAGCAAACTGAGATCCCAGGATGCTTGCACAGAAGGCAAGAGAGCACTCTCCTCAGTTTCAGCAACCAACTATATTTTTTTCCTAGTTTGTACTGTTTTGGTAATATGAATTGAAAGAAATATTAATAACACATGAAAAACATAGTAATTTTCTTTTTCTTTTTTGGTTCATTTGGATGCTGGTGCTAAACTTCCTCTCATGGTTCAACTCCCAGACCTGGTGGCTTGAGATTCACACCAGGTACATGTGCGTGCATGCCCAAAATCCTGAGAATGGAGGAGGAGGGGATTGTGGTATGGCCATTCCCCGCTGGGGAGTGGGTTGTGATTTCTCACTTTCTCTATCTCTTTCTGTCTCTTGGGTGAGCACATGTGCCCTATAGCAAAAAATAAATAAAAATAAATAATTCAGCCAATAATTAAACATATCTTATGGGTTAGTCATCACCCAGCCTCTGTATGCTTGTTTTTGTATTTAACATGTCTGTATGGTCCTGCTCTTCCTTGTCACACATTTTCATTTCCCAGTTGTTATTGCTTGTGATTAAGTTGCCTTTTTCCTCCTTGTTATTATATAACAAGTTAATACACTGATTGAATTAGTTTCCTAACAAACATAAGAAAACTTTGTATCCTAGGCAGAAAAGCTCTCTTTTGGCCATAACAAAGTATCACAAACTACCTGGCTTAAAACAACAGAAATTAATTCTAAAGCAAGTCTGAAATCAAGTTGCTGGCAGGGCCTTGCTCTCTCCTGAAGGCTTTAGGGGAAGAACCTTTCTTTGCCTCTTCCTGGCTTCTCAGGATTGACAGCAATCCTTGGCATTCCTCGACTTACAGACACATTGCCCCAATTTGTGTTGATCATCATCATCATCATGGCCTTCTCCCTGGGTTTGTGTTTGTGTTTTTTCTCCCTTTTTATAAGGACACTAGTAACAGTAAACTGGGCTTACCCAGAGGACCTCATTTTAACTATAATAGATTTTATCTGCAAAGATCCCATTTTCAAATAAGTTCACATTCATAAGTACTGCAGGTAGGCCTTCAGCATATTTTTTGGAAGGACATAGTCCAGTCAACATGACTGGTTTTCTTAGCCTGCTATTGTGTTACTAACAGAAATCACTGAGACTGGGACCAGCATTTAGTGTAATGGCTATGTCGCTGGACTCCCATGTAGTCGACCACGGTTCAAGTCCCAGACCCAGTGGCTTAAACTTATGCCGGGTGTGTGTGCGTGCGTGCCCAAGATCCCGAGAGGAGAATGGAGGAGAAGGGATTGCTGCATGCCCATCCCCCCTGAGGGGTGATTTCTTGCTTTCTGTCTCTCTGTCTCTCTCTTTCTGGCGAGTGCATGCCCTATAGCAAAAACAAACAAACAAAAAACCTCTCCAAAGAAATCCCTGAGACTAGGTGATTTTTAAAGAATAGAGAGGTTTATTTGGCTGGAAAGTCCAAAGGTGTGGCACTAATATCAGGCTAGTCTCTGGGGCTACGTCATAACATGGTCTACTGAAGCAGACAGGTTAGCAGATTTGATTAAAAAAAGAGACCCTGAGACAGCCATCTTTCTTTTATAACAACCTACTCTCCTCGAAACTAACTTTATGAGAGCTAGAGCTCACTTTGTCTCATGAGATAGCATTAGTCCGTTCATGAGAGTGATGTCCCATGATGCAGACACCACCCACTTGCCCTACCTCTTAAAGTTTCACACCTCCCAGTGCACTGGAGACCAAATTCTAAAACATAAACTTTTGGAGGACAAACCATTATCTAAACCATCACACTGGTCAAATGTTTTAAGGTAAGTATTTGGAAAATATCAAGATAATTTAAGTGATATCTTAAGTAGAATTAGGAGCATCTATAAAAAGTATTTAACACAAACTATAATCTTTTTTTTTTTTTTTTTTTTTGGAGAGATTTTCGCTATAGGGCGCTTGCGCTCGCCAGACAGACAGAGAGAGACATAGAGACAGAAAGCAAGAAATCACCCCCCGGGGGGATGGTCACGCCACAATCCCTTCTCCTCCATTCTCCTCTTGGGATCTTGGGCATGCACGCACACGCACCTGGCATGAGTTTTAAGCCACCGGGTCTGGGACACGAACCGCGGTCAAATACGTGGGAGTCCAGTGACATAGCCATTACACTAACTGCTGGTTCCCCACAAACTATAATCTTTCAAAGTGATAGAAAAATTCTGAATACTTTGTGAATAATGAATTAACCATTAAATGTTATAATAGTTTATAATCCTTTTACTTTAAAGAAATCTTTTCTGCTCTTATAAACAGCACAAGTTTGCAGAATGCCCCACAAGATTGGATTTGTAGTTGTCAGCTCATCTGGACATGAAGATGGCTTTAGTGCCCGAGAACTCATGATCCATGCACCAACTGTCAGTGGATGGAGGTCACCAAGGTAAAAGCCTAGAAGGGAAGGGTGTGGCCTAGGAGACAGCTTCAGGTTCCTGAACACATGAGCACCCTTCATTTTAAGCTAAGTTTATTATAGTTCAAATGGACAGTTCACAAGAATGTCAGACTGCACTGCAATGTCTTCCATCCTGTTTTATTATAGATTATTCTCTTAGTCTTCGTTAAAGTTTTTAAGGATATTTTTCTTTTTACTGGTAAAGCATTTTTAAAATAATAGATTATTGTCTTATGTTTCAAATAACCTTACCACAAATTATAAATACGTACCCTGCATTTAAAACATCTAAAGTGACACTGTATTGATAAAAAAGACTAAAGAGTATTCATTTCAAAATTGCTTGATTCCCAAGTGTTCCTAGCTGCCTGCCTGCCTTAATTGTGTCTCTTTTATAACCTTTGCCATTTTGAAAAACCTGGTGTTAGGGAAGATCAAGCGGTCATGCCCTCAAAATAAGAGTGCAAATCTGCTCATGATGAGCTCCTGGCTCCTTTGTCCCCGCTCACTCTCTACATCCATTTAGGATTAGTTTCTGGACAGTGAAAGGAAAGATTTGCAGATTCAGGCCATTCAACTGATACTTCTTTCTTGACTCTTCCCTCCTTTTGTTCTTCCCGCCGACAGTTATCGAGTGTTTTCCTCATGCCGAGTATGTTTCCAGGCAAGAGTGTGCAGCACTGAATTGAGAGCAAGGCCCTCTGACAGCTCTACCTGACAGTCCTTTAAGAAGCTTATAGATAAGGCCTGGGTTTCTGGCTGGCCTGGGCTAGGGGTATGTGGAGGTGCCCTTGCTGAGGTAAAAGGAGATTGGCAGAGGTAGAATCAGGAAACCTGGGGTCTCATCTGTGTCACTTTTTTTTTTTTTTTTTTTTTTAACAGAAATTTTCCTTTCTGGTATAGCATTCCCTTCAGCACTTCTTGAAAAGCTGGTCTGGTGTTGGTAAATTCTTTAAGGTTTTATCTGAGAATGTTTACCCTTTTCTCCCCCGTAAGAAGGATAATCTTGCTGGATATATAGTATTCTTTAAATATATTTTCCTATTCTTTCCTTTCTTACATTGTTTCTAATGAGAGGTCTGATGTTATCCGCTATAGGGCACAGTGCGCTCACCAGATAGGATAGGATATCCTTTGAAAGTAACTTAATGTTTCTCTCTTGCCAATTTTTTTTTTTTTTGAGAGAGATTTTCACTATAGGGTGCATGCGCTCGCCAGACAGAGAGAGACATAGAGACAGAAAGCGAGAAATCACCCCCCAGCGGGGATGGTCACGCCGCAATCCCTTCTCCTCCATTCTCCTCTCGGGATCTTGGGCACGCACGCACACGCGCCCGACGTGAGTTTTAAGCCACCGGGTCCGGGACGCGAACCGCGGTCGACTACGTGGGAGTCCAGCGACATAGCCATTACGCTAACTGCTGGTTCCCTCATCTGTGTCACATTTAATGCCTTTTAGATGTCGACATGGAAATGTCAATCTCCCTCTAGATAAAAAGGAGTCAGGCTCAGGGCAGTGTCCAGTTGGGGTTCCTTGATAAATAAGATGTCTTTAAAATCATGGAGCTGATAAGATCCTTATGTGTATGTAAAGAAGAAAAGGAAACTTGGAGGCACATTCAAGGCTGGATGAGAGGACAGAGCCTCTGAGGTAGGAAGAGGACCAGGACAGGGTAGCATCATGGTTACTTGGCCTAGCAGAGTGTTTGAGGAGTGTGAGTAGTCATGTGGGCTGAGGGAGGGCAAGGCCCTACAGGAGACCTTGCACCTGGTATCAGGGAGGTCTGTGGTGACCTTCATAAGGGTAGCCCATGAGTAGTGTGGGACAGAGTTCCTGGAGTGGAGAAGGGCACAAGAACATGGTGAGAGTGACCACAGACATCTCCCACATGACATTTACTGAGGCAGCAGGTGGGGATAGGGGAGATGCCTAGAGAGGGATACATGGTCACAGGGTAGTGCTCCTAAAATGGGCTTTTTCGAGTGTTTGTGTATTGTTGAGAACGAGGGAATAACCATAGGAGGCAAGTCTTTGGGAAGGCCCATCGGGTGAGTTGATACTTGGACAGGCTTTGGTCTAGTCAAGAGTGGGGTCAGGGAATGGTGCACCAAGCCAGTAGGAACTGCTGTCACAGTGAAAGAACCCCTACTTGATTATGCCTGTTTCTCAGTGAAGTTAGGGTGAATCAGTGGCAGCTGAGGCTTCAGGGGAAGAGAGGTTGGAAGAAGAGGAGGCCAGGTGTATGCAGCAGACAAGAACCACATATGTGCAGCTAGTTGAACACACTGAGGGTGGTGACACTGGAGTTGCAAGGGGCTTTTCCAGATTGCCTCTGTCCATCTGAGTTTCCCCTGCTCCTTATGTCTGCAATGCCTTCATTGGCACATCAGCTAGTACTTGATTGGCAGACATAGGTGGTCTTTACTGTCCTATAAGCATGCAGGTCGTTGCCTTATCATGCTCATATATTGCACTGTGAGGTCTCAGCTGACTGCTGTGGTTCTCGAGCTAATTTTTATTTAGGTTTCTCTTTTTAAATTTGCTGGAGGGTGTGTGTGCTTGCCAGCAAGAGAGTGAGAGAGAAAGTAAGCACACATCCCCCATTCTCCACTCAGGATTTTGGACATACATGTCTAGTGTATTTTTCAAGCCACCAGTTCCTGGAACTCAAACCATGTAGTTGGCCATGTGGCATCCAGCCACCTTAACTACCATATCACCACTGGCCCTTTATTTAGTTTTTAAATGTGTTACATCCCATAAGTAAAATCAGAAGGTCCATCGTGAACCATAGTGTGGACTTCTTTCTCTAGATCTCTGAGCATCAATAGTAGGCACACACACTCCTTAAATCTTGGTAACTCAGGATCCCATAAGCAGGTAGTTTTTCTTACATATTTAGGTTCCTGAGGAAAATCCACTGAGTCTGTCTCACCCGCTAATACAGCCTCTTAAGACTAATTTGTTTATCTCATGATAAAGTTCAGGTTTGATTTCAAACCATTTATGGATGCAAAAAGTATGATTTATGTAGAGTGACAAGCAGATTAATCAAATCTCAATTCCAGTTTGAGCTCCAACAGGGAAAAGCATGGGAGAAGGGAAATAAGGTCATGGTCATTTTTGTACCCTCAGCACCTATAGGTTGTTCACCTCATAGCAAGTGCTTGATCAGTGCTATTACCTACAAGAGTGGGATGCTAACATTGAGAAACCATCTGTAGCAATTGTTTAGGAAAGAAAAAAATGTTATTTGCTTTCAGATTTTGCCAGTTCCCACAAGAAATTGTTCTTCAAATGGTGGAGAGATGTCGAATAAGAAAACTACAGTTACTTGCTCATCAGTATATGATTTCAAGTAAAATTGAGTTCTATATTAGTGAAAGCTTACCTGAATACTTTGTACCGTATCAAGCAGAGCGGTTTCGAAGACTTGGGTAAGAATGAAAGCTAACATTTGTAATGGCAACTTTTAGCCTTTTTCTACCTCTGAGTTCTTGATAAACCAGCGAATGCCTTTTGCTTTTGGTCCTATGTTACTTACTTCTCTTTGGTTCAGGATTAGTGCCTCATAGTATTAACATATTTACTTAATAAGCAGTATTATCATTTCTATTAATTCTGCTATTCAGCTAGACTTTACAGATACAGGTTTGTTTTGTTTTGTTTTAAGAATACCAATTAGAAGATTTGCTCAGTGGCAGTATCATAGCTAATGAGGTTTATCCAAGGTACAATTATTGCTAATTAAAAGAATACTAATTAGAATTAGACTTCCATTTTTTTCCCCTTAGGTTATTCTTTCCTTTTTTTTTTGTTTTGTTTTGTTTTGTTTTGAGAGATTTTTGCTATAGGGTATATGCACTTGCCGGAGAAACAGAAAGACAGATAGAAAGCAAGGTCCAGTCTTCTCTCGGGATTTTGGGCACGCACACATATGCACCCAGCGTGTTTCAAGCTGCTAGGTCTGGGACTCGAACCACAGTCAACTATGTGGGAGTCAGCAACATAACTATTGTGCCATCTGCTGATTCCAGGTTTTTTCTTTCTATACTTAGACTTAGTTTAAACCCATTGAGTTTAATAAGAATGGGAGCAGTTTTGTTGAAAAGTTCATTTTTCAAATCAACATACCCTTTCATTGTGTTTTTCTCTCAGCTATGTCTCTCTCTGTGATAATGAAAAGACAGGTTGCAAAGCCCGGGAACTAAAATCAGTTTATGTGGATGCAGTAGGGCAATTTCTTAAGTTGATTTTTCACCAAAACCATGTCAATAAATACAACATATATAATCAGGTAAGATTAATACATCTTCACTTTGACTCTATTTCTTACCCTGTTTGTAGGATTATGTAGTCATATATCTTTTCTTAAATTCATTTTCAAAACTGTAAAATGGGCTATTTTATGAGAGAATGTTGAGCTCTCTAGGGCAGTGCCACCCTGTGCAATAGCCTGGGAACATGGCTAGTGCAAATGAACTACTGGGACAGTCACCAGGACACTGGGCTTCAAAGACTCAGTATGAAAAAGAGCATAAAAAAATTCATGAATATTCTCATATAAATTACATGTGATGAAATGTTTTTACATATTGTAATAAGCTACTATCAATATTAATTTTACTTGTTACTTTTACTTTTTTTTTTTTTACTTTTACATTTTTAAATGTGCATGCTAGCAAGCTTAAAGTGACATCTATGGTTTGTATCCTGTTTGTATTAGACAGCACCATTTTAGATAAACCCACTGAACTTTCCAAGATAAATCCCCTGATGGAAATTGGGAACAATTTATTTTTAAAGAGAGGTTTTTGCCATAGGGCACATGTGCTCACCAGACAGACAGAAAGCAAGAAATCACACACACACACACCCCCAGGAGGGGGTGGCCATGCCACAATTTCTTCTCCATTCTCCACATGGGATTTTGGGCAGGCACACACAGACGCCCGGTGTGAGTTTTAAGCCTCTGGGTCCCAAACTCAAACCGCTGTCAACTACATGGGAGTCTAGTGATGTAACCATTACGCCATCTGCTGGTCCCTATTGGGAGCACATTTAATGTTGCATGCAATCCATAATTTCTTCAGGTCCAAGCTACTAGTTCTCAATTCTTTTCATTTCTCCCTCTCCCTCTCTCTCCTCCTTCTTCCCTCTCTCTCTACCTCCTTGCCTCTCTTTCCTTCCTTCCTTCTTTCTTTCTTTCTTTCTTTTCTCTCTCTCTCTCTCTCCCCCCTCTCCCCCTTCCTTCCTCCTTCCCTCCCTTTCTTTCCTTCCTTCCTTCATTCAAGCAGCTAAGTTATAGTGATTCTCAACTATGAGGATGAAAAATCACTGACTTAGAAAAACCGAACTATGTTAAGTTAGGTTTTCACTTCATTGTCTGACTTATAGTTATGACCTCCATACTTACAGATACAGGTTTGTTTTGGGGGTTAACCTTGCTTAGGTGACTGGTTCACTACTATGTTAAAGGCTATGTTAAAATTTGGGGGGTTTTTAGCTATTATTATTATTTTTGCACCCTTTACACAGTTAAAATAGCCATTTAATTCAGCATTAAAATATTAACTTACATAATTGATAAAGGTGTTAATAACAGTTCTGTACATTAGCATTACTTTTTATAATTAATGCACTTAGATATGTGCCAGTACATATATCTAGTATGATAACAGTATAGATCAGAGTTCCTCACAAAGGGGTTAAATCATCTCAAACATTTTGTATTTAATTTCTATTTATTTAACTCTTTCTTAGGTTGCTTTGGTTGCAATAAATATTATTGGAGACCCTGCAGATTTCAATGACGAAAACAATATTGTAAGTTTGGGAAGTTTAATTCCTAAGGAAGAAAAAAAAATGTAAGGTTTTTGCCATATGGCATGTGCACTCCCAGAGAGAGAAAGAGGAAGAGAGGGAAAATGAGAAATCGCCTCTCAGGAGGGACCAGGCTGTAATCCTTTCTCCTCTCTTCCTCCTGGGTTTTGTACATGCATACACACATGTCTGGCCTGAGTTTCAAGCCACCAAATACAGGTCTTGGATCATAGCTGGTCATGTGGGAGTGCAGCACCTTAACCATCATACCACCTCTTAGCCCTAGAAAATATATTTTTATCAGGATGGGATCATTTATTTTCATCACAAAAAGTATCATTTAAAAAGTCGTTGTGTCTTTGTAAAATTGACTAGTGAATAACTATTAAGTTATTTTTAGCAGCATGGTGTATGTATGTGTGTTGTGTGTGTGTATTTTAAGAATTATTTAATTTTGGGGACCAGCAGTTAGCGTAATGGCTATGTCACTGGACTCCCACATAGTTGACCACGGTTCAAGTCCTGGACCCCGTGGCTTAAATTCACACTGGGCTCATGTGCGTGTGTGCTCAAGATCCCGAGAGAATGGAGGAGAAGGGTTTGCGGCGTGGCCATCCCCCCTGGGGGAGTGATTGCTCACTTTCTGTCTCTCTGTCTGTCTGGTGAGCACACGCACCCTATAGCAAAAACCTCTCCCCAAAAAAGAAAAGAAAAGAATTATTTAATTTCGTTTATCATTTTTTTTTAAACTTGCTACAGAGCACCTGCACTCATCAGAGAGGGACACAGAGAGAAAGGGAAGAAGTGAGAAAGGAAGCTGCCAGGTCTGGGACTCGAGCCTCATTCAGCCATGTGGGAGCCCAGCACCTTAACCACCATGCCACCTGTTGGCCTCCAGCAGCATGGTGTATTAAACTTTTCTTTTACTCAGGAATTTTAGCTGTCCCTCCAAAAGACTAGGCTAATTGAATTTTGCTGGCAACATACACGAAATAATTCTGTAGTTAAGGTTCTGTGTTGTTCCTCTTTTGTTCTGAGATACTAAAGAGACGATTTGCTCCCAAAGACCTCTAGAGAGAAGCTGATTGACCATTATCTTGGACACAACACTGAAGATCCAGCTCTAGAAGGAACTTATGCTGGGTAAGAGTCTTGCTTCCTCGAGACACTCAATTCCTATGACTTTCCTCAGAATCATATATGTGTCAGTCATTTCCAAAGGATTCTGGATTTGAGGGCCTCTCAGTTCACTTAGATAAGTCACTAATTGGATTGTCTTAAATATACATAAAGATTAAGGTCACTGTTTTATTTAGTGTACCTTCACCAGTTGCCCTTCAGAAACTACTTCATTTCTATGTGTTCAAGTATTACTAGAAGGTTCCTAAAATGCATTCAGGAACAAGATCTGTCAACCATCCTTTGATATTTTATTTACCTCAGATTCTTTTGGTTTTTCTGGTTTTGGTTGTTGGTTTAGTTTGTTTTTTGATTGCCAGAGTGCATGTATGCTCTCCAGAGAGAAAAAGTACCTTTCAGTGGAGCATGGTGCTTTTCTCTCTGTATCTCAAAATGTGTTTTTCAAACCACCTGGGCCAGGACTCAAATTACAGTGATATGGGATGTAGTTCCCTATGCACAGGGCTTAATTGCTTTGCTGTAGGGCTGGCCAATCATGTCAGTTTTTAAAACATTTTTTTTTAATCAGTCCTCCCTATCTTCACATTCACAGTTGTCTATATTTATTTCTTTTGCTGTTTTTTTTTTTTTTTTGGGGGGGGGTTGTGTGTTTTTAGTGGTAGAAGGGACCCATGGTGAGTCAGGAGTGAGTGAGGAAACTATGAAGCCCTGTTGTATAATCCTTCATCAACCCCTCTTTCTCTAACCACCTCTTTGGGACACACAGCTCCTTCAACACCTTAATGTGATTGCTCCTTACTGCAGCAAGGACCCCATCTCAAAGGAGTCTGATCTAAAGAAAAGAGGAATTCAAAACCGTAGGCATGTCCTCTTCTCTGATGGCAGCTTCTCAATAAATAGAACATTTAAATTTTAGTAGAGGTCTCAAATTTGTCCACAGATATGGCTAAATGTCACTTTCACTTGCATGCAGACTGCTGACACAAAGCAATTAATACTTAAACTGGGCTCCCCTGGTTGCACAAAATATGGGGTAGATTCCTTCTACAGTTGCCCAGGAGCCATTTGCAATTGGCCAGAGATGTACACTAGTGGACAGGGAACCTTTCCTTCTGCCCCTAGAGGCCTGGTCTTCAGAAGGACCTCTCAGTCTGAGAAAGGCTGAGTGGTAGAGGAGGTATAGGTCAGGGGTTATCACAGGAGGTTGTGAGCATAAAGTGCTTAGAAAGTAAAGATTGTTCTTACAATGTTCATGAAAGTTAATGATAAAATGTTAATTACCAAATCTACACAAGCTTCTCATTCTCTACCTCAGATTCCTCCCTTGCCTGAGAAAAAATAACAGGACCCTTTTCATCTTTTAAGATGGTGATTTGAAATACTTTGTAGGGAGAGCACTGAAGAGTAGATAACCATCTCTCTCCACTTCTCGTCAACATCATCACTCTGGCTGTGCCTTGGTTTCTACGCTTATTGGAGCCAGTGCCAATAGAAAAGGAACAACCAAATTTGTTGATAGACTTTTAACTTACCTCCAATAAAACTTTTCTGTAATTTTGATTTACTTTAGATATACTTTAGATCACTTGTCTTAATCAAATTAGCCAAGTGGGATGGCAGACTATATTTTCCTGTCCTGCTTTATCCCTGGGGTTTATGAAGGTAAAATGAGAGCTTGTAGATAGCTTGTATATATACCAAGTGCTGAACTACACTAGCCATGAAGTTGGTACCACTGGCAGCTTGCATTTGGTGCCACTGGGAATGTTATGTATGAAAGGAGTAAGTAGCTCTCCTATTGCTGGGTTGCCCAGGGATTCTGCCTGGGAAACCATAAGACATTATTTTTTCTTCATGGAATTTTTATGATCAGATGTCTTTGTGCTCATCTCGGGAACTTCAAGGCAAAACAACTTAGAATTAAGTCTGTATTTAGCTAAAAATGGTTAACGTGATCTTGTAGAAACACTAAAATGTGTCACCATTAGTCATCACTGGGATTACCTGACACTCTTCAAAGCTGCCAAAGCTGTCCTAGCTACTGGGCCTGCATAGTGCTATTGTAAACGAAGTGCTGTGAATTCAAGGGGTGGGGAAATATTAGAGGGGAGAGGTGGAATATTCCTGCGTCTCATTTGAATTTGTTACTATACAAATTTACCAACCAAATTTTTGACTATTTTAATTAAAAAATCTATCCATCCAAGTCACAGCTAACAATTAGAACAGACTGGGATACCTTGAAACATGTCCTTTTAAGTTTCTGTTGAGTGATTAGACTAGCTTGATTATTCTAGAACAGGAAGAAAGCTGATCAGTGCCCAAGAAGAAACTCTAAAGGAAGAAAAAGGTAACACATAATCAGAAATGGGTATCCAGGTAACTAAAAAGATCACTTATTATAGGAACAATTTTTTGATCTATTCTAGGGCTAAGTGGTTGATATCACACAGTTTAACACCAGATCTGAGATAAAAGCCAAATGGTAGCAATTTGTAACCTATCAGATTCATCAAAAATATTGTGGTATTATTGTAAAATATGGATGCCTAGACTCCACCTTGACCCACCAAATCATACTCATTAGAGCTGGGAAATGGGGTCTGATCATCTGTTTATTTTGTTCTTTTTGTTGATTCCCCCATTCTATGTTTGATTCATGTTTGCTGTCACATCCCAGTGCTTACAACCATGCCTGCCCCAGATTTGAAAAACAAGTGATTGGATGAATGCAGCAAAGGCTCAGAGACCCTGCAGTGCAGTTCAGTGAGAGGTCAAGAACATGAACTTTGGTGTCACTGCTTGCACTTAAGAGCTACATCACTTGAAGATCGTTCCAGATTTCTCTGAGTGTCTATTTTCTCATGCAGGAAATGCTTTATAAAGGAGATTGGAGGTTAGGGGGCATTTTCTCAACTGTGCATCTTCAGCACTGAGCCCATAGGACTCCGCTGTGTGACAATACCCTTTAGATTGAAATTTTCTCTGAAATATTCATTTCTTTCCTTCAGGAAATCTGACTATATTTCTCCATTAGATGACTTAGCTTTTGATATGTACCAAGATCCAGAAGTTGCGCAGATTATACGCAAATTAGATGAAAGAAAACGTGAAGCTGTCCAAAAGGAACGTTATGATTATGCCAAGAAACTGAAGCAAGCTATTGCTGATTTGCAAAAGGTATTGCTACTGGAGAAAATCATTCCTATTTTACACTTACAAGTTTTATGTATAATTTTCACAACTACATGTTAAAGAAACATGTTACTACAAGCCATGAAGTTAGTGTGAGTTCAGAAATCTTAGCAAATAAAATTATAGTCAGATGAGCACCACAAAAATGTAAATGAAAGCATGGGCTTTCTCTTTTTAGACTCACACTCAGATGCCTTCCTCAGCCACCTCACTGCTTGAATCCTCATTGCTCCAGGAAAATGGTAGGAAATGAGCTTTCTCCAAAGTTAACTGTGGACTCCTGAGGTTATTAGGTGTTGGTACAGCAGCAAGCAGCACAGCATCTGTGACCTTCAGTTTCTCTGTGCTCGTTTTCTTCTCCTCACAGGACATATATATGGTCATTGCCACGTCATTAATCATTACTCTGAAAATTATCTTTGCACTTGACATGAGTTGATCCAACTTTGAAACAAAAAAGCAAATATTTGTGCTTCAGGTTGGGGAGCGCCTGGGAAGGTATGAGGTAGAAAAACGCTGTGCTGTGGAGAAAGAAGACTATGATCTTGCCAAAGAGAAGAAACAGCAGATGGAGCAGTATCGTGCTGAGGTGTATGAGCAGCTGGACCTCCACAGCCTTCTGGATACTGAGCTGGTAGGTGCAGGAACAAACAAATGAGGACCAGGGACAGAGTGTAGAGTGGGTAGAGGGATGCCGAGGAGACCAGATTCAATGCTATTCTTGAAATTGGGCATATATTTATAAATGTAATGCAAAAGATTTTGAATACTCAGGTTATCATATAAGAGATGGCTTCAGCCTTTGTGTGCCTCTGTCGGGTAGTTTTTTGGTTTGGGTTTTGTTTTTTTTAAGAGACAGAATCTCACTCATTGTTTAGCCTGCTTTGAACTCAAAGTCCTCCTACCTTAGCCTCCCAAGTAGCTGGGATTCTGGGTGCACACTGCCATGTTCAGCTCCATCAGGTAGATTTGTGCCATGGCATGTTCTTTACAAAGGATTTGTAGTAGAGGAAAAGGAGAATGAGTCGGGGATCAGGAAGATTGTGACTCTGCCATGTTTACCAATAAGCCGTCTTCCTCCAGCTCTCAGTTTCCTCCTTTGTAAATGGAAATGTTAATAACCCTGCCTCACCACCCCTTTTAGTGTTGTGAACAGAAAGGGAGAGAATGAGACCAATGGCTTCAGTTCATCAACAGCATGTTTCACGTAAGGCTTTCTGCCATCCCATGACAAATTAGGAAACTGAAGCTCTGGGACACACACAGTAGTCCCTGAGAGTGCAGAGTCTAGAGCTGGATTGCCTGGATTCACATGTAGGCCTCACCTGCTAGCTGTGGGATCTCAGATGCATTCAAGCTGGCTCTGTGCCTCACTTTTTCCATCAGGTTTTAAACGAGGGTAAAAATGGTATAAACATGAGTGAGATCATCTGTCTAGAGCATAATGACTGCTAAGTCAGTTTGCTAATGAGGATTCTACAAAATCACCTGCTTTTGCAAACACAGTAATCGCAGTGCCAGATTTTGAATACAAGTCTGTATGGATTCAGCCTGGGTGCTTCCTACCCACCATCCTACTTCTCCACAGACACATGTGAACTCACTCCATGTACTGTGGTGATCTGTGTACAAATCCTTATTTTTATACTAATATTCTAAATGTATGTGTCACTTCTGTAATCCACACAGTGACCATGGTGAGACAACTGAGGGCAACACAATGTGACCTTGTAGGACTGCAGGGGAAATGACTTCCATTCTGGAAGTTTTTTATTTGAAAACTTTTTATTGTGCCAAGGATGTCATTCCACAGCCATTACAAAGTCTTATTCACCTGGGGAGATGAGATAGTTAGATATTTTGTGGCAGTGGCATTTGAAATTAAATGTCCTTTTTTTCTCTAGATAAGAAGACCTTTTGATTTGCCCCTCAAGCCCCTTGTTCATTCTGGCAGCCCTCACCACCAAAAGCCAGTACCCTTACTGCCACGAACAGAAGAAAGAGGAACAGAAAACCAGTTGGCAGAACCTTTCCTTGAGGAAAAGTCTTCATCTTACCCTCTAACTGTTTCTCCTCAGCATTTTGCAGTAAACCGGTTACTGCCTGCCACAGATCCTCATCCAAAGATCAATGTAGGTAACTCAGTTTCATCATCAGTTTACTCAACAGAGACTGAGAACATGTGTTGTGCCAGGTACTATTCCATTGCATAGGATACGTGAGTGCATCATATAGTCAAACTCCCTCCTTATGTTTCAGGAGAGAGATGTAAACACAACACAGCAACACTTCCCTTACAAGAGGCACAGTTTCCAGTTCAACATGTTAGACCTCTCACCCTGCATCTGCCTCCATCAGCCTGAGTCTTACACACCCTTCATCCTTCAGAACATCGTTTGCCCTATATAAAAAATACATCTGCTTAAAACATCTGCTTAAAGCACTATTTCTAAGGAATAAAAAAGACAGTATTTGTAAAACGACCAATACATGAATTAGCCATAGTAAATCTTCAACAAAGGTTTTGTGTATAGTTACTATACCTATTAAAACTGTATATTGTATGTATCCAGAAACTGAGTCAAATTCAAGATTTTGTAACTAAGGCATTAAGAGATCGTGTGGGTTTCAGGGTTGGTTAAATTCAGTAGCTCAACAGTGTCATCCGAAATCTGGTTTCTTCCTATTTTTAGACTGTCATCCAGTTCACTGTCACCCCAGGGCTAGCTACTATCTCAGTGGTTCTAAGCTTCACATCTGCACATTGTACTGTCTCAAAGAATGAATGTGTCCTATTTAAGCAAGAGTTTTTGAATGTGCCCTAGTTAGATCAACAGCATGTGCCAACCTTTGAAGGAACAACTAGGAGCAAAGGAGGGACACATGCTGATTGACTTGCCAAGGCCTTCCTAGGAGAGCGCGTGCGCTCGCCAGACAGACAGAGACAGAGAGACAGAAAGCGAGAAATCACCCCCCGGGGGGGATGGCCACGCCACAGTCCCTTCTCCACCATTCTCCTCTCGGGATCTTAGGCACGCACACACACACGCCTGGCATGAGTTTTAAGCCACTGGGTCCAGGACACGAACCGCCGTCGACCACATGAGACTCCAGCAACATAGCCATTACACTAACTGCTGGTCCCCCTAGGAGATTCTTGAACCCGTGTGACAAATGGACCTGGGGGGACCAGCAGTTGGTGTCATGGTTATGTCACTGGACTTCTACGTGGTCAACTGCAGTTCGAGTCCCAGACCTGGCAGCTTAAAACACACTGGGCATGTGTGCGTGCATGCCCAAAATCCAAGAGGATATTGGAGGAGAGGGATTATGGTGTAGGCGTTGTCCCTGAGAGATGATTTCTTGCTTTCCGTCTCTCCAGTGAGTGCACATGCCCTACAGCAAAGAAAAAAAAAAAAACTCTCAAAATAAAAAAAAATGAGCCTGAGTACCACACAGGGAAAAGGAAGGGAAAATACCAACTGGGCCCCTAACAAGTTGCTGCAAAGACTGAAAGAGTTTATTTATCATCTCAGTATTTTATAACTATTAGTAAATTTTAGAATATAAGAAATTTTTAAAAATATTTATTTAATTTCATTTATTCATTTTTTTATTTCAACAATAGAGAGAGAGAGAAAAAAAAAGTAAGAAAGCAAACTGCCAGGTCCAGGACTTGAACTGTGGTCAACCATGTGGGAGTGTCCAGTGCCCTACCACCATGCCACCTGCTGGTCCCAGAATATAAGAAATTGTTCACAAATACAGTATACACCAATCAATATATCAATAAGTATTAAGGATGAATAGTTTACCCTCACTGTTTCAATCCACAGTAACACCTACCTCAGAAAGTGAATCAGGAATCACTGTCTTTGTATTACTTAATTACTCGAAATGTTTTTATTTATCTCCTTTTTTTTTTAAGGGAGTTTTTTTGTTTGCTTGCTTGTTTGTTTGCTATGGGGCACATGTGGTCACTGGAGACACAGAGAAAGACAGAGAGAGAGAGCAAGAAATCACCCTCCAGGAATGATGAACACACCACAATCCCTTCTCCTCTTGGGATTTTGGATGCACACACACACACACCCAGCATGAGTTCCAAGCCGTCAGGTTTGGGACTCAAACTGCAGTCGGCCATGTGGGAGTCTAGCACCATAACCACCATGCCACCTGCTGGCCTCTGTATTTCCTTCTTTAATTGTACACTTCTGTCTCCCCATGAGGTCAGAAAGTTCATTTTATTTATTGTTGTATATGGAGCATTAAGAACAATGCCTGGTACATTCTAGGAGCTTGGTTAACTATTGGGTCATCAGAAAAGTCATGACATGTTTTTCTGTGCAAAAATGCATCATGACTTTTCCAATGACCCAGTATTTGTTGGAGTGATAGTTGAGTGGTATTGACACCTGCCTGTAGAGAATTTCAGTAGGCACTGCAGAGAAAGCTTGCTTAAAAAATTTTTAACTTTGCTGCCTGTTCTAAGGTCACCTGATAATGAACGTGTTTATTAAAGTCAGGTTTGATACTTATTTCTAAACAGTAAATTAAGAAAATACCAGAAATCTTGTCAGAAAATAATGCAATAAACTTTATTTTGGTAATCTCAATGTCAGTTGAACTAAAATTGTTACTTGTAAATAGTAATTAAGTGCATTGCTTTTAAAATTAGGTCTTTAATGAGTTCTGAAGGGAATAGAAAGCCTCATCTAATTTTTCCAATTGCATCCTATTTGTTGTATAAATTATTCTAATCTGATGATACTGATGTTAAGCAAAATGGGTGATTCGTCTCGCACAAACACGCGCCTGGCATGAGTTTTAAGCCACTGGGTCCAGGACACGAACCGCCGTCGACCACATGAGACTCCAGCAACATAGCCATTACACTAACTGCTGGTCCCCCTAGGAGATTCTTGAACCCGTGTGACAAATGGACCTGGGGGGCCCAGCAGTTGGTGTCATGGTTATGTCACTGGACTTCTACGTGGTCAACTGCAGTTCGAGTCCCAGACCTGGCAGCTTAAAACACACTGGGCATGTGTGCGTGCATGCCCAAAATCCAAGAGGATATTGGAGGAGAGGGATTATGGTGTAGGCGTTGTCCCTGAGAGATGATTTCTTGCTTTCCGTCTCTCCAGTGAGTGCACATGCCCTACAGCAAAGAAAAAAAAAAAAACTCTCAAAATAAAAAAAAATGAGCCTGAGTACCACACAGGGAAAAGGAAGGGAAAATACCAACTGGGCCCCTAACAAGTTGCTGCAAAGACTGAAAGAGTTTATTTATCATCTCAGTATTTTATAACTATTAGTAAATTTTAGAATATAAGAAATTTTTAAAAATATTTATTTAATTTCATTTATTCATTCATTTATTTTAATTTGACAGGAGAGAGAGAGAGAAAGTAAGAAAGCAAGGCACCAGGTCTGGGACTTGAACTGTGGTCAACCATGTGGGAGTGTCCAGTGCCCTACCACCATGCCACCTGCTGGTCCCAGAATATAAGAAATTGTTCACAAATACAGTATACACCAATCAATATATCAATAAGTATTAAGGATGAATAGTTTACCCTCACTGTTTCAATCCACAGTAACACCTACCTCAGAAAGTGAATCAGGAATCACTGTCTTTGTATTACTTAATTACTCGAAATGTTTTTATTTATCTCCTTTTTTTTTTAAGGGAGTTTTTTTGTTTGCTTGCTTGTTTGTTTGCTATGGGGCACATGTGGTCACTGGAGACACAGAGAAAGACAGAGAGAGAGAGCAAGAAATCACCCTCCAGGAATGATGAACACACCACAATCCCTTCTCCTCTTGGGATTTTGGATGCACACACACACACACCCAGCATGAGTTCCAAGCCGTCAGGTTTGGGACTCAAACTGCAGTCGGCCATGTGGGAGTCTAGCACCATAACCACCATGCCACCTGCTGGCCTCTGTATTTCCTTCTTTAATTGTACACTTCTGTCTCCCCATGAGGTCAGAAAGTTCATTTTATTTATTGTTGTATATGGAGCATTAAGAACAATGCCTGGTACATTCTAGGAGCTTGGTTAACTATTGGGTCATCAGAAAAGTCATGACATGTTTTTCTGTGCAAAAATGCATCATGACTTTTCCAATGACCCAGTATTTGTTGGAGTGATAGTTGAGTGGTATTGACACCTGCCTGTAGAGAATTTCAGTAGGCACTGCAGAGAAAGCTTGCTTAAAAAATTTTTAACTTTGCTGCCTGTTCTAAGGTCACCTGATAATGAACGTGTTTATTAAAGTCAGGTTTGATACTTATTTCTAAACAGTAAATTAAGAAAATACCAGAAATCTTGTCAGAAAATAATGCAATAAACTTTATTTTGGTAATCTCAATGTCAGTTGAACTAAAATTGTTACTTGTAAATAGTAATTAAGTGCATTGCTTTTAAAATTAGGTCTTTAATGAGTTCTGAAGGGAATAGAAAGCCTCATCTAATTTTTCCAATTGCATCCTATTTGTTGTATAAATTATTCTAATCTGATGATACTGATGTTAAGCAAAATAACATCTTTCAGGCCAGGTAAGTAAGGGCAGTAACTCTGCAGGTGACAGAGTCACACTGCAAGAATGGGAAGGGGGATGAGTACCCACCTCAAGAGCTAGCTCCACCGGGCTTTCCTATTTCCCTTGCTTACCTGCAGGTGGAATCCCTGCCCTACGATGAGAGGCCTCTTCCAGCTGTTCGCAAGCAGCAGGGGGAGGCACCAGGGGAGCCAGAAATGAGTGATGCAGACATCAGTGATGCTCGGAGAGGAGGCATCTCAGGGGATCCAGAGCCCTTAACAGAAAAAGCCTTGAGAGAAGCCAGCTCTGCCATCGATGTATTAGGAGAAACCTTGGTAAAGAAGGGGGGAGAAGCTATACACACACGTACACACACACACATACACACACACATATACATATGTATATATGTGTAAAGTAAGAAAAAAGGAAGAGAAAACACCTAAGGCTTTTTGTATTTGTAATCATTGATTTCTCTTTGCTTTTATTGAATTGGAAAGTCTTCTGTTCAGAAAAGTCATGACATGTTTTTCATGTTCCTCAAATACATTCTATAGAAGTTCTGTTATTAGAAAAGATTCTTCTTAGATTTTTAAAAAGAAAAAAGGCTTTCAAGTTGTCTAGTAATTGATGGGCAGTAGTTGTGATAATTATGAAGATGCTGACCTTGAGGTAAACTGAGACTTGCTTTGTGGTAGGTTGCTGGGGCCTATTCCAAGACATGGTCCTATCGAGAAGACGCACTGCTTGCCTTGTATAAAAAGCTGATGGAAATGCCTGTGGGAACACCAAAGGAAGACTTGAAGAACACCCTGAGAGCATCCATCTTTCTCATCAGAAGAGCCATAAAGGACATTGTGAGCTCAGTAAGTGGCACTAGCCCCAGAAATCATGAGTGGCCTAACAGGCATTTCACAATAAAGTAGTGTAGCTTTTTTTTTTTTTAAATTATATTTTTTTTCCCATCACAACACACAAATGAATTTTCCATCCAAAATACACTGTGCATTGGCTCAATCAAGCACATCAACATATATGTTCTCAGCAAATAATTTCCCAATTCTTGTGTCCTGCATACCTTGCCTTTTGTTTTACCATCCTAGATTCCCCATCCCCCTCCCTCTGTTATGACCCATCCTCCTCCCACATTGTCCCTGGCATCCACGGTTGCCCTCCGTGCCTCCCCCCTCCCCAAATGATCTGTCAGTGATCTTAATTAGTCTAAGTCTCTCCAATAGTTATCACAGCTGACACATGCCTCTACATGAACTCAAGTCTGACTTTAGGCCTAAACCCCATTGGGTAAAAAGAGCATACTATAAAGTAGAACCCAACTGGGCCCATACCGCTCACTGCAGCCATCAAATATCCAATTTTTTTTTTTAAATGGTACGAATAGTTTAACCGTTTTTTTTTGTTTGTTTTTTGTTTTCGTTTTTTTCCCGTAACATTCATTCCCTGAGCATCATCACAGCGTACTAAATGTAATCTCCCATCTAGAATAAACTGCACAGTGACCCAATCAAGCATGTTATCATCAATAATATTCCACTTCTACTTTCTTGCTTATGCACATATATGTTTTTTTTCCTCTTCCTCTTTTTTTTTATTTTTTTTT